TTAAGGGTTTAGGGTTTAGGCCCCAAATCCCCAACCCCCTAAACCCTAAACCCTAAATACAGTAGTAGTTTCCATATTATTTTCCATGATATCTATACCCCGCATATACCCCATCATACTACAGTAGTTTCCATTTTCTTTTCCATTACCCTATATCATCCCGATCTAAATCATTTGGACCGCGGCTGAGGCCCTCCAACCCCGTCACTGACGCAGCTGAGGGCTGTGTGGTGTCGTAGCGAGATGAGCTCCGGCCATATTCTCCAAGCGATCCAAGTGCTTACATGGTATTTGACATGGGATTTGTATTGTGGCTTGGGTGAATGTATAGCTCCGTCGGAATATTGGGAAACATATATATATATATGTGTGTATATATATATATGTATACATTCATTTGTGAGTCCATAAAGAAGACGCTGAGTTATATGCGGCCTATTCACTGCAGTCCTCTAAAGACAGCTGACGACTTACCATCCTTATTCTTAAACTCAGGAGATCAAAATCCTTTGGCATTGCCTGCAAGAAGCTATGTAGAATCGGACTTCGCGCCCGTGATTTGTTTGCAGCAAATTGTGTCGCCCCAGGCGGCTTTAATTCAGCTGCATTTGCTTGTCGGGACAAAGACCCGTGATCAAGATCTGCAGTCCCAAAAAATGGACGAGAGCTTGCTAACATATTCCTGCTAATATTCATGTAGCAGCCAAAATAATTACCAATATTTTTGTCTTAGGCTCCTTATGTACTTGTGGTATAGAGTATCAACTAAACCTCAGTGATGTTGGTAACCAAGTAGGGTCCTCTGGTTAGCCTCCCCCCACATGATATCAAGCTGTTCTAATTACAGGAGCCTTGGATGTTGTTGTTGTGTGTTTTGTTTTTTTTGTTGGGGGTGGGGGGCGGGTGTCTTCCCCGCAAGGTCAAAAATAGCACGCCCCTGAGGGGGGCTTGATATTGGAGTCCTTCTACCCCATTATAGTAGTTTCCATGTTCTTTTACATCACCCCCATGTAACCCCATATAATCCCACTATAACCCCTATACGTATACCCTATTATAATATGGTAGTTTCCAGGTTCTTTTCCATTATCCCCTATTATACCCTTGACGGCCCCTATCATCTCCCCAGGCTAAGCCAAACTTCTTGTCTGAGACACGCCGCAGTACCAAAGACCAAAGTTCTTAGCAATCCCCAGGGCTCCCAGTTACCTAAAATATGGGTTCTGGGTTCCACTTACCCTGTAGTTACATAGCCCGGTAACCTAAATTTACCAAAGTTCTTAGCAGTGTTAGTGATATTTGGGGATTTCCCAAATTACGGGTACTTTTTTGGGGGTCCCTATGATAAGCACTATAGTACTTGGGGGTCCATATTCGGGTCCCCTATTCAGGGAAACTCCCATTTCGAATTCTATTTCTGCGAGAAAGCCTAGGCGTTTTGTACTTGATGTTTGGCCCTGTGATGTACACCCGTGGCGAACTGAGCCTTGCCGCCAATGGCTTGGAGACTGTATGGGTTCCGAGGCAATTACGTAATCCACTGTTTGTATAAGCATAAGATACCTGCATGCATACACATTTGTATGTGTTCCCCTGAAAGCTTCATTATGCAATCCCGAGAATACTCTCTATAGCATTTGTGTGATCTTCTTGCACTGCGCGACATGATTTTGCGTCCCCCTGTGCTGTAGTTCTAAACCTGTATTCTTCAGGAAGCATAGTCACAGGATTTTGGTACCCCTACGCCCTATAACAAGGACCGAGGACCTTAGGAGAGACGTTGTGTTCTCATTGTGGGTTGGGGTAACCAAAGCCTTGTTTGTGCTTAGCTATCATTATGCAACCCGAACATATTGATTTTCCGTTTACTGGTTCGACTGATTGTTCAGTACTACCCTAAACCCTAAGGGACCTTAAATCACCCCCCATGAATTTTGGGCCAAAGCACCCTTTTCGAGTCATTGGCCTACATTTCGCCACTCCCCAAATTCCATACAACCTCCATGTACTAAATCTGTATTAAACAAGGGGCCTACGTGTAGACTATTCTGCCTGGTGGAAGGTCTACAAGCTGCGGGATGAGTGCAGCCGCCTCATGGACTGGGAGGGTTTCGTGTTTTGGGGTGGAGGCCCATGGGGGGGTGTAAGCATTTGGGACCCTAAACCCGAAATTTGGGATGTAGGTTTTAAGAGTGTAGGCCTTGTAGGGCCGGGGGGGGTTGGAGGAGCGCATGAGGTTTGGGGGCGTAGAGCTATCTCATTGGGTACTGTGCAGGATACATAATCTTTCCCCTTCATGGGAGTGGAGTCCTTCAAGATTCAGTGCACGTAGAGGTTGCGCAGGCCAAGATTGTCTAGGTCGAGACCACTCGGAATCTGCGCCTAGCCTACTCAGAACATGGATGTGTTGACGAGGCCATGCTTCCAGGCATCTAGAGGATGTGGAGCCTGCACGAAAGGCCCAGACTGTCCCTAAACCACAAACCGTAAATAGTAGTTTCCATTTTCTTTTCAAGTACCCCAATATATATAAGTATATATAGATATAAGTGTGTATATATATAATTATGTATATGTATGTATCCCCCACATAAACTGCTAAACAGCAAATTATAACCCCATTATAGTAGTTTCAAAGGTCTGTTCCAATATCCCTGTAACCAACCCCAATAGACTATAACATACCAGAATATACAAAGCCCTAAACCCTAAACCCTAAACCATAATATACAAAGCCCTAAACAATGCAGGACATGAACAGCAGCCTTCAGTCTCAAGTGCTGCGACTGCATGGTCCAGCGAACAGTGCAGGCCAGGGGCTCACAGCCTGCTTTGCTTGATTATAGTCCCCCTTAAGCAGATAGAATATAGGGTTTAGGGTTTAGGGTTATAATCCCCCTTAAGTAGGTAGAATATGGGGTTTAAGGTTTAGGGTTTAGGGTTATAGTTCCCCTTAAGCAGATAGAATATAGGGTTTAGGGTTTAGGGTTATAGTCCCATTAAGTACATAGAATATAGGGTTTAGGGTTTAGGGTTATTGTCCCCCTAAAGTACATAGAATATGGGGTATAATATTGGGGTTATAGAGGGATAAAGGAAAAGAACATGGAAACTACTATATTACAATAGGGTATATATTGGGGTTATAGTCCCCCTTCAGTAGATAGAATATGTCTTTGGGTATATAATAATAGGATCCCCATGTACCCCATGTTACATCTACTCAAGGGGGCTATAGTTTGGTTTTTAGGGCTTGGGGGCTGGGGATGAGAGAGTGTAGCAGTTTGTGACCTGAATGTTTAATCTGAAATCCGAAGAAGGGCTTCCCTCAGATAATCATATTTCTAATGACTACTCATCCGTTCCTAGAATAACTATGTAATAACTATACCCACCCGCCTCCACTTCGCTGGTAATATCGAGGACCAACATCAGAGCTGTATTTACATTAGGGAAATAATCATTGATAGGAGGGCGGGGCGGGGGGAGGGAATTCATAAGCCCTAAACCCAAGACCCTATAAGCCCTCACAAAAAGGAACTGATAAACCTTACAGCAAACCCTCAAACCTCAAACGCGGGCATCACCCTGCCCTGTATTTGCCCTGTTGGCCAGGGGATTCGTCCGCTACGGACGCAGCTCGGGCCCCCAGCCGCAACATTCTGCTTGGGGTTTAGGGCTTAGTTGCTGGTGGCAGCTAGTGATTGAAGGGATGGCTTTCAGGGATTTGGGGATTTAATCCTCCGTTCATACCTTTATGTCAATAATGTAACTTACTTGTAGGCTTTCTTATGCGTGAAAGTTTCCTCGATCGGTCTGGTTAGTGGGTGGCTCTGTGAACTTTGGTGACATTCATGCTTCAAGGTCTCTCCTGTGCTTGCGTGATGTATAAGAAATGGGGATACGCGTGAGTTGATTTCTGAAGGCTTCAGGCTTTCTGTCCAAGACAAAAATAAGGCAGACATCTCCACATGTGCTGTCAAATGCTGCACAGACTAAATGAGCATGGCTTGTCCTCGCGTGAGAGATGCACCCCCCAAAGCATCGCGTTATACAGCACCATTCGCTTCAGATCGTGAACTTCATTCCGCGCTTTGGGGGGCTCCATGCTTGTTCGAGTAAGGTTGTAGTTGCCTTAACTTGCATATTGTTATCATGGTCCTGTGAGTCCAGGACGCGCAGGAAGAAGCACAGCTGCGCGATGCAGGAACCTGAGCTTTGCTTTATTGTACCGCGAGACATGCCTGGGAGAAGCCGCACTAAGTCATTCTACATCCATTGGCCTTTCAAAGCCCAAGTCCAGCTATAGGGTCTACATTCACTTCAACTGACTCCAATTGAAATGAAGCTGCCAGTCTGGCTGCATTCGGTGTATGGTGTTAGAACTTAGGACTAGACAAGCCTGCTACTCTTGCATCTTAAAGATATTTCGAGCTCAAGAAGGAAAAGCATTCACCCGCAACCTCATATACTAGTATAATCTAATATATATATATATATATATGTAGGGTTCTATTTCTTTTCCTGGGGGGGGCCTAGGTGTCAGTGTTGGGGGGGATTCACTCGTAGTACCTCAGCGGAAGCTCATGGTGACGGTGCGCGCTGTAGAGAGCGTCTTCGTGTTTGAGGATCAGCGGTTTATGGGGCAGGGTCTGGGGGTAAAGGTTTAGGGTTTAAGGTTTGGGGTTGGGGTCTAAGGTTCAGGGTGTGGAGTTTTAGGTTCAGGGTTTGGGGGTTTAGGGGTTCAGGGTGCAGACCCCCAAACCCTGAATCCTAGGGTGAGGATTTGGTCAAGAAACTTTGGCCCAAGTAGATTCAAATCTCAAGTCCGAATCGTTTCCTCTGATCCTTCAGACATAGCAGCAAGTCTCATATTCTTTAGGGTTTAGGGTTTAGGGCAGAATCCTATCCGCTGGATCAACCTTCAACAGGGGTAGGTTTGAAAAGTGTTGTTTGTTCATGCTTATTGCCTGTAATCCTTATATTATCCTTACAGACCACAATTTACAATTCTAATAGGGCCCCCAAAACTACCCTAGTCAACCTGAAGCAACTTCCTAATAATTCTGCTGCTATATAAGCTCCCACCGACCTGAGGCCTGATATTCTCATACTCCTTGTGCTCACCCCTAGTCCTGAACCTTCCAAAGCCACAGCCGGAGCGCCGTGCACAGAGTTAAGTTTGTGCTTTTTGAATATTGTGGTTCCCAGGAAGCGCGGTACAAATTCCGAATGTGTG